CCCCAAAACCCCAAAACCCCAAAACCCCATTTAGCTTATTTCTAAAAATATGAAATAGTATCAAAATTTTAAAATCAAAAGCTGATTTCGATTTTTGCACTCTTTAAAGCCATAATTCTTTAACTGATTCTTTCGATTATATCATTTGCTTATTAATTGGATCAATTGTTAATTTCAAGGACCTCATCAAGAGTCATGTATAGAGCCCGATTCAAGACACTATTGTCTGGGATTTCGGCAGCTTAACGGTACTTGGCTGCATCTCCCTTGTTATTTAACTCAGGATGCTCAATTAGTTCTTCGACGCAAGCTTTTAGATTAAGAGCGAAATCATTGGCATGAACATAGTTAGCCTCTGTGACAATCAAATGAGCACTTGCTGGCATCTGGAGCTTGCTCAAAGTCCACTTAAACTTATTTTGCATTAAATCAGCAACTGCAATACAACTGTATTTCTTAGAGGTAAAGCTAACTACGCATGTCTAAACAGCTAATTAATTAATGAGATAAAGTTACATCATCATTGCTACATAATTCTATATCGGGGATTTCCATGATTTCATCTCTCATTTTTCGTGCTGCAGTTAAAATGTTTTTTGCCTTTTCAAGGAACCTAAATAGACTAAGATGAATAAGGAATTTAATTACCCATCTCTTCCTTGTTTCATCAAAGCTGCCCATGTACCAGCAATAACTGCTCCTGATCTGCTTCCAGCTGCAGTGGGTGTGACATACATACCTCCATTCCACTCTGTCACTCCGATGAATGTTCCTTCTCTGAGTTTCTTATCCCTAAACATTAAAAGTGAAGCTCCCTTAGGTCCATAGCCAAATTTTTGAGGGTCTGATGAGATTGAAGTGACTCCCTCAACTCTGAAATCGAAAAGATAAGGTTATTTAAAACCTGCTTCCTCAGCGAAGACACCTACAAAGCTACCTAAACAGCAATCTGAATGACAGCCTATTCCTCTATCCTATGCCATCTTTGCTATAACTGGAACTGGATCATACTTTCCAAATGAATAGTCAGGTGAACTAGCAACTAACATGACGGTATTTGAGTCTATTTTTGATGTTAAGGCTTTGATATCACATTGCATATCATGAGTTAAAGGAACTTTTCTGATTTCCATTGCAAGATAAAAGGCTGCCTTGTCAAATCCTGCATGAGCGGTATTTGAGCAAACTATATTCGGTTTAGTGATGCCCTTTCTTCTACCTTGCTACCTATAGGCGAGACATGATATGAAAATACTCTCACTTCCTCCGGATGTCAACAAACCACAAGAACCTTAAGGCCCATGATATAGCTCTAGTCCCATTCTAATGATCTCTGCTTCGAGTTATCCCACAAAGGCAAACTCACTCATGTGTAAGGGATTTGACTCAATATGAAGTCTCATCACATCAGTAATGAAATCCCAATGTTCCATATTAGAGGTATAAACAGCTCCTGATATTTTAGCTCCCTCCGTATAGTGGGCACGTGCTTGTTCACTACCTTATTGCATTCTAGTAATGATGGTGTCTTCACGCCATGGTGTTTATGGCAATTTGTAAACAAGGTTCTTTCTCCATCCCTTGATTTCCTTTCTAAATCCGTCTCTAACTTCATCTTCTTTCTTTTTAAGATACTTTTAGGTCTAAGGTAAAAGCAATGCGAGATTTTATAATGCTTTGAGTATATTTTTTCTAAAATTTTTGCTGAATACTATTGCTCCTTGTAAGAAACATAAGAAGTATTGTAGCAAAATAATTACCAAAATGGCTAGAACAATCAGAGTTACTGGTTCATAGCCTCGTAAATACTCATTTGCTTATTAAATCATCCAGGTGCTTTTGTCGCACATTTTATTCATCATTTCAAATAAGTCCGCAGACTTCTCAATTCCAATCATGGGTAAAGTACTATTATTAAATATCTTGAATTGGGTTATAATTAATTGCTGAGATTATCTGACTTGTATTTAGAATTATCAAGTCCACATTTTCGCAAGATATTCAAGATTTTGGGGTTTTGGGGTTTTGGGGTTTCGGGG